ATTTTGCTAATTAAAATGACGTAAATTTTTATTTAAATTTTAAACAACAAAATAAAGGATGAAATCTGCTATAACCCCATCATGCAGTCAGAATTATTTCTTATATCGTTCATCTTTCTCCCTTCCTGTAAAGCCTGCTTGAATTTGCTTTAAGACCGATATTGATCATCCATTAAATAATAATAATAATAATAATAATAATAATAATGGGAAAATATTTGTCCTTTTAAATGACACAATTTATGTCATTTTTTCTCTTACTTAAAATGACACAACTTAACATCCTTTAAAATGATACACATTTTTCCTTAATAATAATCAAATTATAAACAGAAGTCATTAGTCATTACTTTACAGAGAAAATAGGCTCTCCGCTACAACAGGATAGATTGTTCTCCTGCCACACTCTCATATCAATATAGTAGGTACTACCATCTTTAAATAAATAAATAAAAAATCTTGTGAAAGTAGCTAGAGATGATTTTCTCATAAACAGGAGAAAATCATCTCCCTTCTTTATATTTTGCAAATGTTTTGAACGCTACTAACTTCTTAAGTTACAATTATAATTAACTACAAATTATGGATAAAGATAATAAAGTTGCAAAAATAATTAATTTTCTATTTTTCTTATTGATAGCAAACAAAGGGAGACAGGCGTGATCAAAGAAATATGATCATAGCGATTCCGTGCTTTTAAGTTTTATCAGTTAAACCATTCACGCGGTTTGTTATAATCATTTATCCTCACAAAAACTAATCTAATTTTAGCAGGCTAGATATTAATGATGTAAAATTAAAAATGATGCTACCCAATAACATGTATACGAATATCATTTTATATTATTTGGTATTAACAAACTATTAAAATGTTTCATCAACAATTTATTTATATTTAATTACTTAGTTACATAATTAAAGTTAAATGAAAGAGACATGTTGCAGTCCCGATAGCAATGCTTGGATCTTGCACCATACTATGATTCGAAGAAGACGAAGTTTGAGAATTTTTAAAAGTTAGCTTCTTCTGAGGTTCTTTTGTCAGTTTTTTTTTTTTTTTTTTGGAACCTACTTTTGGTATTATTTTATTTGGGCTTGAATCCTTAAAACAATTAAAAATAGTAGAGATTTGCATAATTTATCACTTTTTAAAGTGCAAGTCACTATCTATACATTTGATTAATACATTAAAAAAGGCTACTTTTTTGGTATGCAATAAATAATTAGGCTCTTCCACTAAAGAAAGTTAGCATATCATATCAAATGGGGATTTGGCCTTCACATTTTGGGCCGAGTGGGATTTCACTTTCTATACCAACTTTTTTTCCACTATCTTTTTCGTTCTTTTTCTAGTTCGAAATCTTGTTTCTTTTTTATGTGGTCAAAGTATTTTCATACTTTTATTATATGTATCAACATTGTTAATTATTACAAAAACAAGCACAATTGATCGAAGTATATATAGTCTCCAAATAAAGAGAAATTTCCCAAATCAATTCTTTAGTCCTCTCCCCCCATCCATATTCTTTTTTTTTTTTTGAGTTTATTAATGCTAATTTAACAGACAGTTATCTATTAATATATATCTTTAAAATAATTGAAAATTATGCAATATAATAATTTTATCTTTTTATATAGATATTATTCCATTCAGTTTTCATAAAACTTAGTATTCAACCATTATAATATTGGACTGATTTGGAAGTTTTTTTTAAAAAAAAAAGAACTGAATATATCTTATTGTCAAAAAAATATATTAAATAGTTATTTTGATGGTAAAAGTTCATATTGAAAGACTTTCATTTTGGTGTACTTATTATTAAAAACTAAAATGATAACATGGAATGGAAGTATTAGTATTTAATTTTGTCTATTTAAACTCCCCATAAATATTTTTTGTTTTTATTTCTTTAATTACCATTAACTAATTTCTAAGTCAAAAATATTTTTATTTATACTTTTCATGTTGTTTTTATTAATATTTCATTTAATAGTAATTTTATTGTTTTTGAATAGTTAAAATATAAAAATATTTTTAAGATATTCTTATATGATAATATCATTTTTATAATATTAAAAATAAATTTTACTCTCAAATCATCTTTTGATAATCATATAATTAAATTATTTTTAATAATATCATACTTTAATAATTAATTTAGAAAAGAAATGTTAAGAATATAATTTTGCTTCTACATGGTGATAAAGAAGTCTTTAATAAAATTGACTAAAGAATCCCATATTCAGTCCAGGGTTCATTTTTTGCTGTTCAACCCCTCCTCTCATTCTTCAACCCAAAGTTGAAAATTTAGTCATTTATTCTTTAAAAGAAAGAAAGAAAAGTCAAATAATGAACAGTGTTGACATCTTGTTCTATTGCTAGTGCCGAACAAAAAGGAAAATAGCGTGTATACTAAAAGAAGAACTCATGTTTCCAAATTGGGACTATGTAAAGGGTCCCTAAACAACGTCACACATGTCCAGACAGCATACCTTCAACACAAGTGAAAACCTATAATTGAATGATGCCTGCACTAATAATTAGGCTAAACTAAGGAGCAAGGAGAGAATATAAGATACCCTCAAAATAAAATTTATTTTGTATTTTATATCATTAAATGTATATCACATCTGTTATACTATTAAAAATATAGTTATAAAAAGAAACAATTACAATCTTTTAAGTGTTTGTTTTGTATCATTTTAAATAAAACGATTGTGTTTTGATATATATTTGTTGACTTTTTATATTTTTTTCTCCACAAAATTAAAAGCAAAGAGAAAAAAAAATATTGTGGAGGAAAAAACAAATATAAAAACCTATAAATATGTACCAAAACAAAATTATTTCACTTAAAATGATAAAAAATTATATTTTTTTAAATGACAAATATTTTTTCGTTAAGATAATATATATTCAATAATGTAAAACAGAAAAAATTCTGACTATAATAGCACCATAAAATACCCCAAAAGTAAGATTTCGATTGGCATAAGGGACATTGAGCATGTCATGCAAAAGGGAAAATCTTTTAGGTGTGGGCAAGAACATGAGGTTTTGAAAAAATAAAGAAAAAGATGAAGAAAGGGTTTACTTTAAGGGGTTTGCATTTGTCATTTAATATGACACAATAAATTTTTCTACACACACAACGTACGTTTTGTGGAGCTCACTTTTTGAAGAAAAAAAAAATACGACACGCAAAATGCATCTCTATAACATTACACAATCACTTTTCTTACCATATAACTCTTATAAAACCCTTACTTTAAATGCTCTACAATGTTTAAAGACCACATATCCATTTGGTTTCTGAAACAGCCGGCCAAACAATTTTGTCTTGATAGCACAAGATGGACCAAATGCTGTGTAGTTTGGCATATACCATTGTCATTCACATGCTACGTATTGGCAGTCTTTGCAGACTATTTGCGTGTCACTTGTGGCACTCCCCAAGTCATAATCACTTGTGGTACAAAAATAAAAACAAGGCAAATAGCCAAATATTAAAGTTACAGAAATGTTAAAAAAAAAGAAGTTACAAAAGTTAATAACCTAACTGTTGACACATAAAAATTGAACAAGTAAAGATAAAAATATGTATTTGATTCTTTCGAATATCATGTTTGAAAGGAATTTAAAGTCTAAATTTTAAACTCACCTCCCACTTCGAATTAATCCATAAAGAATCTATAGAATTATTGGAGGATAATCTCCAAAAAAAAATTAATTAATTATCTAAGGAGGCGTTTGGTACAGGAGAAATTTTTATTTATTCGAGAATCTCAATTTTCAAAAATATGATTTTTGCATTCAGTTTATAATAATATTCAAAAATTAAAAATTTAAAAAAATTCAGTTTGCCGAGAATCCCGAAGAATCCCGCGTACCAAACGCTCCCTAAGGGTTATATTATTCTCCCTATATTATTCTCGTACGAGAACAATATAACTTCATGCAAATCTATCGATTCATGTGCCTCGTATTTTTTTTAATAAATAATGGAGTCTTTCACATGATTGTATCTACCACATGAAAAAAAATATCTCATATTGTATGAGAGTAATATAACACCCATAATGTACTTGTGGTTTATATAGTTTTCATTTTTTTCTTAAATAAAAAAGTCACGACATGATATGGGAAGGAAAGAAGATACATTAAATCCTGAAAGTGAAATCTAAACAAATTAGTTTACATTCCGTAATTGGAATGAAAAGAAATTTGTGGTCATAGACGTTCGGATTCTCACAAGTACAGCATCTTTCTGAAACAATATTGTAATTGGACAAGTTTTAAGCCGTGTCCTGTAAGACAGGACATGCTGGATCCCCACGGTAGAGGTCAAATCACATAAACCTACTTTGTCTATACTGAAGATTTATTGGTAACAAACAAAACTTGAAGTTTGTAACGAGGAAAAAAAAAACAGAAGTTTCAACCAGAGAAGGCACAAGTTCTTCGACTCAAATAAAAGGAGAACGAATCCGTTAAAATTTCACATCACTATGTGAAACTTTTGTATTTATTTTTCTCTTCACATATATTAAACATGTGAGATTCAATTATCATTAATAAATAAAAAAATAAACACAAAAATTGCACATGAACTTAACATGAAAGGATCCAATCACAAAACAAAGCCACTCTGCCTTGGTGGTTAGGATGCAAGCCATAAAACTTCTTCTAGTCATAGGAGGTCACTTCTTTTATTACCCATTAAACTTTAAGTCACAGTACTATTTTTAAGTGTAGTTTGAGATTTCTCTCTAAAAACCAGATGAAGACCAACGAGCCATTGCAAACATTCTCTTTTTCTTTATTCTTTTGGTTAGGTTTTACTGCATGAAATTAAAATCTATATATGACACTTTAGATTGTATAATACACACGGATCTCCCGTTAAATTGAGAATTTCCCCTCTATTTTTGTTACTACTAGAACTTGGAAACAAGAATGATAGTAATCTGAACATTATCAACCAAGTCAGGTTGGCTGAGTCAATGAAAAACATAGTGTTACATTCTGAAAGAAAGAAACCAGATCAAGAAGTTCAATTTGAACTCCCATTCTTATTTATATACATCTGAGATCTAGGAAAACAAACTCGCTATGTCATATGAACTTAAATATATACATGGAACTAAAAAAAACATCTGAATGAAAGGAAAGAGGGTAAAAGTAAAACAGCCTAGAAGTCACTTAAGAAAGGGGAGATACTCCGCAAAACACAAGAATGCTCCTTCTTCTTAGAAGGAAATGCAGAAAGAACCATCCTTTGTTCTTCTTCAGTTGGCTGACAGCAAGAACTAACTCTTACAAACAAGGCTGGTGAATCAGCGTGGCTTTACAATTTGTGATTTCTTCAGGAACAGTTCACCAAAAACACAATTACAAATTTATTAGCTACATGTTTATGAGGTCTCACGAAAGTTAAGTGACCTAGACAAGGCTGCTGGATTGGCCTGCAAGACTGGTGAGGCTTGCATAGAGTGATTCTTTTCATCAAACTTTGAAGGGAATGCTTTAAAGAGTCCTCCCCCGGGAACTGAGTCAGCCTTATCATTTGCAATCCCGAGAGTTGTCCATATAGAACTTTCTGCAGCTTCTCCCGAGTCATTAATTCTCAAAGTTTTTGGAAACCACAGGCACTTTTCTTTGTTATTTTCTTTGCTATGTCCATCTCCACCGCTTGAATCATTTGATTTAAGCATGTTCTCTTCCCTTGAATGTTTACCTAAGGTTGGGGAGTTAGAGCCAGAGTTAGAGGTTGCACCATTTGGTGATGATGGTTGTGCTAGCCATGGGATGTTCCATGCGCCTGACACAGTACAACCCCAATAAGCTGTTGCAGGATAGAATGGCATGGTAAAGCCTGGAGGGCAAAAGGCAGGTGGTGGTACAGGAGAGCTCCATTGCACTGGACTCCATGGGAAAGGCCAAGTGGCCCCAGAAAAGTAGGGAACTTGTGATGGGAAGCTCTGGCAATTCTGCATAGTTTGTTCTTGGGACTTATTGGCGCTTGCACCTTCAATTGATTTTGTGGATGTATCCGAAGATTTATTGGATTGATCATCTCTTTTTTCTCCACTGGCATGGGGGACAGAAATTCTTAGTTCTTCATGTTTATGAAATCCATTTTTTGTGTAATTGTGCACCGCTTTATCAGCAAGGTTCAAAGTAGATTCCATTGATTCACACAAGGGTGTATCAGACCCAAATGTAAGGACTGCACCATTGCAGTTCAGCGAAGGATGATGAGTTCCATTTGTCAAGTCTGTCAGAGTATTATGGAGTACTGCTTCAGAGACAGTTATGTGGTGACAGTGAGAAGCAGAGTTCTTGTTCTTCCTACGACCAGCACCTACAGGCACATTCCTCATGGTCCCACCAGCAGTCCAGTATCTCTGGCAATTCTTGCAGAAGTGGCGGGGTTGGTTGACATTGTAATTATTGTAGTAGCAGAATTTGGTGTCCATGTTATTACAACGCGGACAAGGCAGTATTTTATCTGGTTTTTTGAGGTTCTTATCCTGTGAATTGCCTATCTCACCCTGTTCTTCTTCAGCCTTTGAAGTTTTCACTTTAGTAGCCTCCCTCTCAGTGGATGGGGTAACAGATTCTTCATCAGTCCTAGAGGCTGTATCTGGATTGGTGAACTCTTCCAATGATTGGGTGGGGGCTCCATCTTCCTTCTTATCATTAGATGGTTTTTCCTCCAATGTGTCCTGCATTCATGAAAAGCCCTGCTAAGTATGTTGCTATACACTAAATATGTAGTATAAGCACTATATTTATATTATGAAAAGAATATCTCAAACATAAATTGACTGATTTACATTTTTGCCTTCTGCAAGTACAGAGAGATATCTTCCCAGGTCAAAATAAATATTAAAAAGTACTTATTGCATAGATTCTTTTATTGGGAAAAAAAAAACTTAGAAAACACACAGATTAAAAAAAAATCCACACTGCACAAAATCAAGATTAAATAAGAGACTTAGGCTCTGATTGATTACTGTTTTTAAAAACAGTTTTTTAGTTTTCAGAATAAAAAAACAAAAAAACTCATTTGGTAAGGTTTGTTTTGTAAAAAAAAAATTAAAAACTGTAACTATTTTTTTGTTTTTAGAATCAAATTTAGAGAACATGTCTGAGTTGTTTTTGTTTTCTGTTTTGGTTTTTAACTTTCTAAACAAAAAATACATAGAAAACAACTGTTTTCATAATTATTCTACAAAATAGTTTTAAAAACAAAAAAACCAAAACACAATCAAACAGGACCTTAAATTTTCTATTAACGAAGGCTGAATCAGTAAGAATTCAGCTGAGACAGTACAACTCAAGAACAGAATCACAAATGTTACAGCAAGAAGAAGAAGTCTATAAGAAAACAAAGATAGGAAAAAATAATTCAGGGCAATTTGAGAGATCCTGATCTCTCCCAAGCCTAGTCCCAGTCCCAGTCCAAAGGTGCCTAATAATCCTTGTCAGCCTCTATTTATCCCCTGCAGGAGCTTGTTCCCTGCCTCTAACTGACTGCCCCTCAACGACTTGAGGGATATTCTCTTCTAACTGCCTGTGAGCTGACTCAGCAAGTGCTAATGATCCCCTCTGTGATGTCGTATCACACTACAAAAAGATCACAACAGGGAATCTACTATAGAGTCCTACTAGCACTGAATAAATTATATATCACTCCACATAACTGTAGCATCATTTTTCCATTATCCACAGTGCGACATCAACTGCCAAAATCCCATTTTTGATGTGTTTATCCCCAAACATGTTAATTCATTTTTTCTAAAAAGGTTGATGCTGGAAATATTACCATTTGATGCTGCTGGCTCAAACCAAGGGAAAGGAATATACTTGAAATGAATCAACGGGGAAACTTATGCAGAAAAAAATGAATGGTATACAAACCACAAGGAGATAGATCTTTATTCTCCATTTATAAGACAGAGCATCAATTACAAATAAGGCAAAGCTAAGCGTGGATATAGACAAAAGTGCAACAAACAAGGAAATCAAAAGAAAAAGCATAGCAAATCTGCTCAAGATGGTACTATGGCAGTTTTTAATTCAAGCTTTCCGGATTTGGCAAACACATACAAAACTCACAAGTCAAATAGAAAAAGATTTTTTTTTTTCACAAGCATGCTGACATAACCAAGGAAACTGAACCAGCCAAGATAGAGAAAAAAGAAAAGAAAGAAACAAGGAATAAAATTAGATTAATTTCTGTAGCTTTCCATATGCATATTGTGAAGCATTAAGAAGGTTTTGAAAGCAGAACTGAAAGCATACAAGAGACTAATTATAAAATAATACTAAATCCTTATTGCAATTTCAGAAGCTGGCAGACTAACAGAACAACTGAAGAATTAATCCAAATGCTTATGTCATACAAAAGCCATTTGGGAAAATCTCTAAATAAAAAAAATAAAAACTTCTCTCATATAGCTTTTGATTATAAGCTGTGTTTAACAAAAACTAATAAGCTAATTCAAATACATACTAATTCTTTTAAGCCATCAAACAATCAAGCTTCAGCAAGTCAAAGATAACAACGAAAAAACTTGAACAACCGAGTGGGAATTGGAAATTTGAAAAAAAAAACCCATCAATAAGCTCCCCAGATTGAAACCGACCCCAAATCACCAATTAAACACTGAGATCCTTGAAAATAAATAAATAAACAACACAACACAACAAAACACAATACGATACAAGCCTATTCAATGCTTAAGCCAAACTAAGACCAACCCATTGAACATTTTTGCATTCCAAATAATGGGTCACTCTCAAATTAAAAAAAATTTGAACCCCAAAATTTCCATACCTTGTCAATCTCTTGCTCTTGTGCATCCCTGTTCGTGTGTGACTCCCTCGAAGAGTTGGTGGAAGAAGAGTGATTCTGGTCAACACTGTCATCGACAACATCCCCAGAAGATGAAGCCGGAGCTCCGGCGGAGTCTCCGGATCCGACCGGGATCGTCTTCCCGAAGAGCTTGATCGCCGGGTCTTTTGCTTCCGACATTTCTGTTTGTTTTTTTTTTTTTGTTACTAAAAAAGATTTTCACCTTGTTTTTTTGTTTTTGTTGTTGTCTCCAAAGAGAAAGAAAGAAGAACAAAAAAACTGTAAAAGTTGTCGTAGAAAGAGAAAAAAGTGTCGAAAGAGAGAGAGAGAGAAGGAAGGGTGACACGTTGTGTGAGGAGTGTGAGAGTGTGGTTGATTGTGCGTTTTGTTGTTGATCCGCTGAAGCAGGTAAAAGGTGCCACATCAGAAGCAACTTACAATTTGAGCCACAAGCTCTTTTGTGGCCTTAGAAAGATCTTTCTCTTTCTTCCTTTTTCATTCTCTTTTTCGTCTCTCTTTCTCTATATACTTTGTCCCAGCAGCTAATAGCCAAAATGTCTACATTTTTCATATTTAGGTATGTGCCAAACATGAATTTCGACCATTCGTTCATTTGTCTTAGCCAAATACTGCATAATATAATTTATTTCATGCAATACCTCAAAAAAAAAAAAGGTTAGACTTAGACTCACTTTTTCTCTCTCTTTTTTTAGTGAGTTTTACTTATTTTTTATGTGTCATATGAAATAAATTATCTCATGTAATATGAGTAATATATTTCTCGTTATATTATGAAATTAATATTTATTATTTTAAAAGATATAAATTCATGTCATTTTAGACAAAATTATAATATTTTATGATAAGAGAAACAGTTACACAATAAAAACTATAGTGGAAGAAAGTTAAAAATTTTTACTTAAATATTAAATAAAAAATAGCCCTTTTAACTAAATTGACAAACATTTTTTCCTTATATTATATAATTTGTTTGTGTTTTCTTAGAGCATTTTTTTATTAAATAATACAAATTTATATGATAATTAAGTTATTTTTTCAAATACAAAAAATAAAAAATGTTTTTAAAACTTCTTTCATAAAATCAATAAAGCAGTTTTTTTTTTAAATTAATAATTACATTAAAAAACATTTTTTCCGAAATTTATTCCAATGTGCCATAAATACTTGTCATAAGTTAATATTTGGTGAAGATAAGCATTAAATCATTACTTAAGATATGTATGAGATGGCAAAATTGGACACATTGTGAGTATATAAAAATAAGATAAGACCAACTGTACTTAATTGATAAAAATTATGTTCTTGCCTAATGGGATCTAATACCTATATACCCACGTCCTCTCTTTTTTTTAAACCCCCCCCCCCCCCCCCCCCCCACACTCTTTTTTTGTAACTAAACTCGTCCCTTTTGTTTAAATGAAATATATTATCTCTTTGATGTGTCTTCATTTTGTCAAATTCATAAAAAAATACTATTTAATATTAAAATAATTATGAAAAATTGAGAGTGATTATGTTCACAACTAAAAAATTTTACAACTCTTATTACTAAATTAATCATCGTTGATTTCTGTCAATTTGACGATTATATTTTATTGACAGAAATCAATAGTGATTAATTTAATAGTAAGAGTTATAAAAAAATTTCAGTAATAAATATAACCTATTCCTAAAAAATTAACAAAATTCACTTATATTTGTAAGTAATTATCCAAGTTGAGTGATCGAACCCAATATTATTGGCGAAGACCTTATTCATTGGCAGCAACTTTTGTGATTGCTCATAAATTTTGATCCAATTGTCATCCCTATCCTTAAAAGGAAATTTTTTTTTTTCATGCTTAACGGGTATAAGATAAATTATTTTTACTTATAAGTCAAGTTACGTGTTCTATTTCTACAAGAATATACCTAAGAATCTTTGCCCTCAAATTCTCCAATCTTACATACCCGCCTACCAAATTGCATAAACTGTATTTTACAAAAGTTATTTTCTCTCAAAGAAATTTAATTTATTATATATTCACGACTCTTGGATACTTTTTGTCGTTTTTTAAACGCGGCCCGCACTTGCTGTACTTTCCGGTCTTTCTATATTTCTTTTGGTAAACTGTCTTTCTATCTCCTTTTTGTTTTTTGTGGTATCCTTCAATCTCCTTTATTCATATGTTGGCATCCCATTCCAAGTTACGTAATAATTCATTTTTTTGGTAATTAAAAATTTATTTTGCATTATCAAGATAATATAAAAGAAGAGTAAATATTCAATTTAATATCTAAAACTTTATTAGATTATCAGTTACAACTCAATCCCACACTTGCTAAGGTATTTTTATTTGTACGATAAGTTAGCAAAATAGTTTGTCTTGCCTGCTTTTAACCTTTTAAAGGTGAGATTGATTGGTGAATGAGTTGAAAATATTAATATATCTTGTTTTAAGGTAGGATGGCGAATTTATCCGTCTAAAAAATAATATTACAAAAATAAATAAACATATTAATACCAATCTTTTATTTCTAATCTCTAACATATAAATATCTTTTAAGTTTTAAAAAAATATCATGCAATAAGTCAAAGACAAAAGAATGATTTAAGCCAATAATTTTATTTAACATAACAGTACAAATCATATCTTAAGATTAATTAATAAATTTCAGTGCTATTATATACCAAAATAATGACATAAAACATATGAATACTTCGCAAATGAACACATCATTGCATCTTGTAACTATGATTTCATAAGCATCTTGTTTGATTTGTGTTGGAATTAATGAATGAATTAATGTACAATGATCCATTGGTTATGAATAAGAAGTGGGTTAATAAAGAAAAGAGAAAAAGGGAAGATGAAGAGGTGTGTGGGTTTCAACAAGTCCCACATTGGACAATTAGTAGGAAATGGGAGAGTATATAAGCTCCCACTTCCCTCTCTTAGATTGGCCCTTGGGTCACTACATGTTTTATGTAGGGGGAAGAGCTAGGTGAGTATTGGTTCGCGCCGCCGCCGCCGTCCGGCTCGGATCGGATCGGATCGGTTCGGTTCGGTTCGGTTCATAGTGTGTAATAAAAAATATTTTTTTAATATTTTGTCCAAAAATTTACCGTTGCTTCCCTCCAACCAAAATGTTTCTACCCGCCGCCGGCGACTGTTCATCGTGACCGGTTAGTGTCTATAAATAGACACTGACACCTTCAGAAATCTATCCAGTTTTTTCTGCACTTAAACTCTGCCGAAATTTTTTCTTCTTCCGGTTTTGCATATTGTTGTTCATCCTCCGGTGTGACTTCCTCTGGCATATTGTTGTGTTCGTTTGGGTTGTTGATTGGTAGTGCCACCATTCTTCAGACGAAATCCGTTCTATCCTGGGAGACAAGTGTCCATCAACCTTAGGCATCAGTGAGGGGGCAAATTGTCTTAAGGAGACACGTTCTGTGGGCTCGGATTTAATTCCTCTGATACTGCATATATTCATCCTTTCATTCTGTCTGTTTCATCATTCTGCCACTGATAAGTAAGTCTATTTTTAATTACACAGTGATAATTCTGATCATCTACCTCCTCTGCTTTATACATGGGTTCAAATCTATTAGTGATATAATATCACCCACTGTCTTCAATAACAATCTTAAGACAATTTCGGTGTTTTTGAACCTGTGATCGGTATTTATTTTTCGTTATATATACTGTTTCTGTTTTATTAATCTGTGTGATATATTAATCTGTGTGATAAATTAATCTGTGTGATTAATTTCGGATTCTGTTTGTGTAACAGAAATGGCTAATGTAAGTACTAGCAATGCCAATGTTACTGCCTCTGTTCCAATGCATGCTGACAAGCCTGAAAAACTGAATGGAACAAATTTCAAACGCTGGCAACAGAAGATGTTGTTCTATTTGACAACTCTGAGTCTAGACCGTTTCCTCAAGGAAGATGCTCCTAAACTGAAAGAGGGAGAAGAGTCTGACAAGGAAAAGGTTGCTGCCATTGATGCTTTTAAGCATTCTGACTTCCTTTGCAGGAACTATATTCTCAATGCTCTAGACAACTCACTGTATAATGTGTACTGTACCCTGAAGACTAGTAAGGAACTTTGGGAAAGTCTGGACAAGAAGTATAAAACTGAGGATGCTGCCTTGAAAAAATTCATAGTTGGCAGATTCTTGGACTTCAAGATGGTAGACTCCAAATCTGTTGTGAGTCAAGTTGAGGAACTTCAAGTGATTGTGCATGAAATTCATGCAGAAGGAATGTCTCTTAGTGAGTCTTTTCAAGTTGCTGCTTTCATAGAGAAATTACCAAACTCTTGGAGAGACTTCAAGAATTATCTGAAGCATAAGCGCAAGGAATTGACACTTGAAGATCTGGTTACCAGATTGAGAATAGAAGAAGACAATAAGATGTCTGACAAGAGGAATGGCAACAATCCTATGATCTCCAAAGCTAATGTAGTTGAAGAGGGATCAAAGTCAAAGAAGAGGAAATATTCTGAAGATGGAAATGCTAAGCAAGGAAAGGGCAAAAAGTTCAAAGGCAACTGTTTCAATTGTGGGAATCCTGGCCACCGTGCAAAGGATTGTAAGAAGGAACAAAGGAAAGATCAGAGGAAGCCACAAAAGTTCAATAAGAAGAAGAAGAGCACTCAAGCCAATATGGTTGATATTGCTGATCAGGTTGAAGAACTGAATCTGGCAGCAGTGGTGATGGAGTGCAATCTGATGGGAGACTCCAACGAATGGTGGGTGGACACTGGTGCCACCAGACATGTCTGTTCAAACAAGGGGATGTTCTCCTCCTATACTCCTACTGATAATGATGAGAAACTTTATATGGGTAATTCATCTACTTCAAAAGTTGAAGGAGTGGGCAAAGTGGCTTTGAAAATGACATCTGGCAAGATAGTGACACTGAATGATGTGCTCCATGTGCCTGATATTCGCAAGAACTTAGTCTCTGGATCTCTGTTAAGCAAGAATGGCTTTAAACTTGTATTTGTTTCTGATAAGTTTGTACTTACTAAGAATGATGTGTATGTAGGAAAGGGCTACCTTAGTGGGGGCCTTTTCAAACTGAATGTGATGACTGTAAACAACTCCAATATTATTAATAATACTACTACTTCTGTCTACTTGCTTGAGTCTTCTAATTTATGGCATAGTAGATTAGGACATGTTAATCTAAAGTCCATTAAGAGTTTAATACATTTAGATTTATTACCTAAATTTGAATGTTTAAATAATAAGTGCCAAGTATGTGTTGAATCAAAATTTTCGAAATTACCTTTTAAATCAGTTGAAAGATCAACCGAGT